GGATGGATGAATCATAACGACCTCACTGTGACGTCACTTGAATGATGGTGGGGTTAAGGGGAATCATCCCCAAATGACTGTATGACAAAAAAAAATCAGGTGCATGACGCTTAGTGAATTATAGTTCAGCCAGATTATTGTATCTATTTTAACTTTTGTTATTATTGTTGTTGTTATTACTGTATTTCTAGCCAGAATCCATAATTCTGAAGTGATATGGTTATCAGATCGAAACTGGGCCTCAAGTCTACCCACATATAAATTATAACCCAAGGCATCCCCGATGACTCATTTTACCACTGGATTAATTGTGGATTATTACTACTATGGTTGGTAAAATTGGTCCTTTGACTTTCAGGAAATGGTTTATCCTTGGGGGGTTCTGGTTGGTCAATGATTACCCTGGGGTACACGAAAAAAAGGATCATGGAAGCGTTGGAAACCAGTGGGCTTTCAAGCGCCTTTTATGTCCATCGCTATGTTTACTGTAGAGTCGAGGGCTTCAACCATGAAGCAAATTTTGGGATAGCCACAAACTCAACTGCCGGTTGTCAACAACAGGTACCCTCTGGTTGTGACTGACATAGCCATGGTATAGATGGCCCATAGAAATAGATGGTTTACCTAGCTATAAAATGGGTGGATCTTTCCATGGCTATGTTAGTCATAACCAGATGGTAGCTATGCAAAATGAAGCCACACATCGGGGATGGCTGTGGCTTCGTGATGGGGTTGCTGGATGTAGCTGGTTGCTCCATGGATTTAAAATCCGTAGAAATGCTTACAATAAGATTCCTTGGGCAATAAATTGAAGATATGATGGGGTAAATGCATGATAAATCTGTGTTTCATTTTGTGATGCATTCCTTGTAATTTGGGTTATAGCCCCAATAAATGAAAGGATCGTAACCAAGGGAAACGGGCATATAGTCTACCGCACCATATGCTAGCTGGTAGCTGCTAGACCACATATCAGATGTACCGTAAACGGATATAGCCCCAGTCCCTATTGCCAAATATGATTCTTTTCTTTTACCCTCTGGTAAACTAACATAACTATGGACAATCACCATGTTTAATGGGAAAATCCACTATAAATGGCCATTTTCAATAGCTACGTTAAATTACCAGAGGGTAAGATTAAGGATGAACCAACCAACATTGGGATGTTCAAAACCTGAGACATGATCCAACTGTGAAGCAGCGTTCAATCTGGATTGATAAGCCTGTCTTTGGGGGGATTGTGGGGCCCGCCAGTTTTGGGAATACACATGTAGGACGACCATACCCCATGGATTTGGGGTGTTCATCGTGGCACACTTTGGGAGAAATACCCTTCGTTAAGCTAACATATCTATGGTGCTTTTCCGCAGCAAACTGTTGCCGGAGGGTAATTCCATTCATCATCAATCACCATTAATCACCATATCATCATTATCAACAGTAATCAGGCATTATTCACCATGATGCACCATCATCATTGCTAACCAAGCACTATTAACCATAATAAACCATTCTTCGCCACTACTAAGCCGGGAAGCTCCGCACATCGTGGACTAGTTAGGTGGACCACAACTGGGTCGTAGGTCGTCCACCTCGCCAGGTGCAGAGAGAACTGATGCAGGGGGTGCGTGCCATTTCAGTCGCCTGGTGGGATGATTTGGACACACACACAGAGACACACATACAGATATATACTGTATATATATATACACGTACGCACGTACGTACATACATACAGTGATAAGTACACACAGTACAGTACATTGCATTGCATTGCATTACATTACACACATAAAGATAGATGATCGTCCCACTAGGACCCCCCTAAACTGCACTTGGCTCGGACCCTGGCGCCACCAAGGTTCGAGCCAACGTTGGCGTTAACGTCGGCTTTCCTACCGAGGTGCCCGTGGTTAGATCAGCAGACTCTGCTGATCTTTGGCGTGTTGGTTCTGCCATTTCTTTTAACATGCAAAATGCGGTGTGAGCGACAAAACTGGGATTTAACCGACAAAAATCGAGGATTCAAACCCCAAACTTGGAAGATGATGGGGATTTCACCCAGCAACATGTCAGTGGATAGTGGATGATGAAGTGGTGTTGATAAAGAAAGGTACAACCATTTTTCGGGGTATGGTCTTTTCATTCCCCCTCGGATGGGTTTTTGTTGGATTTCCCCATGTCAGGACGAGGGACAGGTTTTGACGCAGCAGGGCTTCATTGCGTGGCTCGGCCGACGCCCGGTATATAGCTATGGATGCAATGGGATTTCATAGGACCTTAGGGGATACAATGGGAATATGAATGGAGATATACCATCTCCAGTAATCTGGTGCATTGCTATGGCAGCTATCGTATAGATGGCCCATTTAGTTCGATGATTCGCCTTTTAAACATGGTGATTTTCCATAGCTAGGGCAGTTCATCCATTTACAAATGGCTTGAAGCCCAGTTCTATATATATTTCGTTTGGTAATGGATATCAACAGCTTAGGATTCCTGGCACTTGGATCCAGAACGTCCAAGTGAAACCAGATATATACTTCAATCAATTTTGGGTGAAAACCCATGGCTCTCCAGCAAAAAGAATTCTAAGAAAACCACTGCATATCATATTTGTTGGCTATATATTACATATTATATACATTATATATATATCCCTATCATCTCCCATTACATCCACATTACACCAGCATTTTTGTTGGTGAAAATACAATTTTTCATCATCAATCCCACCATTTACCCAAGGGTTGACAGAGTCTTCGGTTTTTTTCTGTGAAGAAAGAAATGAAAACCACTCCATCTTGCATGATTTTCTACTAATCCCTATTATTTTCCCATCACATCCCCAGCCAGCATTTTTGTTGGTGAAATCACGATTTTTGATTGTATAAACCCACCATATCTCTATGACTTCCCTAATTATTGTTGGTTGGGTTAAACCCCCTTAAACCACTATTAAACCCATCATATCACATTAAACCACTATTTTCACCATCATTAACCATATTAATCATTAACTATTACCCATCATTAACCAATATTAACCATACTTCCATAATTACCCACCATATCTCTATGATTTCCCTAATTATTGTTGGTTGGGTTAAACGGTTAAACCCCATTAAACCACTATTAAACCCAAGGGCATTTTCCCAGGCCCCAGACCATATCCCCAGATCAACGTTGACTGTCAGGCGTACGGCCCGACAAGCTTGGTGGAGCAATCGGAGGTCAGGCTTAGAGGAGCCATGGTGGCGGAAATTTATGATATGCACTGGGATTTATCAGGATTGAATTTGGGATTAAGTTGGGATTTACTAGGGTTTAATGGGATTTAAGTTGGGATTTACTAGGATTTTAATGGGATTTAATTTGGGATTTACTGGAAATTATCAGGATTTACTGGAATTTATTAGGATTTAATGGAATTTACCCTGATGGTAATTGAAGAAAGCTATGGTATAGATGGCCCATTTAGTTCGCTTATTTACCGCGTAAAAACGGGGCTTCTCAGTGATTTTCAATGGCCATGTTAAATTACCAGAGGGGAACTGATGCTTGATTTATGAGTCCAACCACACAGAGAATGTAGGGTTTTACATTTAGAAAAAAAAACAGAAAAATCACAACCAGAGCAACCAGAAAAAAAAACCAGAAAACCAGAAACAAAAAACAGTGAAAACACAAAAAAGGAACAGAAACAAACCCAAAAACTCTGGAATTTTCAGTTTTTATTTTTACTTTATATATTTTTCTGGTGATTCTTCTTGCAGTTTGTTTTTTTGATGATCTGTTTTTGATAGTGTTTGTTTTTTTTTCTGCATTTTTTTGCTAAATGAATGTTCCAGTTGGCCTCAGAATGCTTGAGCACAAATAGGGATTTAACCGCTGAAAATGGTGGGATGATGGACACATTCCCCGACTGGGCTTAGATTCGATATCTTAGAAGCAGCGCAACAAGCTGCGCAACAAGACTCTTCAAGATCTTCAAGTACATCGATAAAAAGACCTTGACTGATCTCAAGGCTGTCCAAGGATTTCGTTCCACTAGGGCTGTTTGTATTTCTGCTTGGGAAAGGCCAAAGCCCTACAAAGACTTCCGGGATTTCTTGCGAACGTGCGCTTCTCAGTCTTGTGGCATCTTGTGACACCTCCTTGAGACTTACCTTTGCTTTTCTTGGGACCTTGGGACTTCCGACCTCCTTCCCCGTGCTGTTCCTTCTTTTGTTCTATTCATTTTTGTCAGATGGGCGGCGAACTTGAGTCAAGAGATTCAACGGAAGGCCTTCTTCTTTTGCAGTTGACTTGCAAAAATAGCAGAAAGGCAGCAGGTTTCTTATTCTTCAACTGCCTATTTTGAACCGTTCGAACCAATTTCTGCCAGACACAATGGATCGCACTCCCAAATATTTTCATGTCCACCTCAGAAAAGTCAATCCTGGTTGAATGATGTCTTTCGCCGCCCGAAAAAAATGATGTCATTTGCGAAGTGTTGGTCAGCTGGATCCCAAGGCTTCGCCTGAAGAGAGCACGTGAAATCGCCAAGCAACGGGCTGCCATGGACCGAGCGAGATCTGGGCGAAGCAAGCGTAATGGCTGATGTGTAAGTTGTATTAAGTTGTGAAGTAGTGTAACGGGGCTCTCCTAGGGCCCGCTCTGTTTTTTTTTAAGTCAGACATGAACAGATCAATGACCTGAAGATTGCCATGATTTGTGCTGAGGCCTTGAGAGATGCCAATGCCGAAGCCTGACGTTTGGAGTTCTTCCCCGACTTGGATGTGCATCTCAGATAGGATCACAGAGGATCTGTGTTTAGCTCTATATATATATATACACATATAGATATATGTGTGTGTACATATGTATATACGTAGCTATACATTATATATATATAATTATATATATATATATATAACCTATGAATCTAACGGGACTAACTCTGCCTGTGTCCCGCCGAGGTGCAGACCATGGTGATCGATGGCAGTTTGGATCCTGATGCCGTGGACTCCTTGGGGGTGCTGGTTATGTGGTGACGTGACCTGGTGGTTTAATGTGCTATGGCAGCTATGTTTAACAACCTTAGATGTAGCACATTAATGGAATGGTTTAACCCATCTAGGTTTCTTGTTTAATGATCCATACTTCTTAAACCTAAGATGGGATGATTTGCTTAAATGGCACGTTTTTAAAAAATACGAAGCGTTTTTTCCCCATCCTTTTTGGGTCGTTAAAATGGGATGAAAATCGACTGCTGACCCCGCAAGAAAATGACTGGCTGAGGTCACCCCTGAGTTGATGTCTGAAGTGCCTGAAGCCCCAGGATATCAATGATGATCCAGTGGGTAGCCAGCGGGGGTGTACTAATATTGGATATCATTGAGGATCAATATTGGATGATCATAAAATATTGGTGGTATCTAATATATTTTTTAATGATCAACCAATATTTTATCATCCAGTGGGTGGTTTCAATCTTTTCCAAAATCATCACGAAAGCAAGCGGTAGCTAGCTGGAGTGTACTCTTGCTTCCGCAAGGGCAGCTCTGAATCCAACACCATTTTTCACGTGAACCCAACTGGTCACTCCCTCGCTTAAGCCTACGTTTTGGCTCGTTTAAGCCTACGTCATAGATTTGTCAGGATATATGATACATCCATATCATATATCTGGACAAATCCATAAATCGGCACATTATTGTAGACCTGCACAGGTGGACTATAGACGCTTATCGGGACATTCACGACATTCAGACATGATTCAGTTATATAATAGTTATATATCTTAAATGCATTCTACGTTTACATCACTGGTGGACTAGAGACTCTTTCAGTGTGTTGTGTGCACTGTAGCTTTGAAACCATGGTTAAAAAAGCCCCCGTGTGTCTTGATTAATAAATCCCCTGTCCCCAACCCGAAAGGATGAAAGCTGTATCCCCCAGGTCCCCAATGTCCCCTATGCCGCTGTTGTCCCCTCTGTCCCCTCTGTCCCCTCTGTCCCCACCCCTAAGATGAACCCTAAAGGTAATGAATCCAGTATCCAAGATGGTCGGCTCAAGTGATCCTTGGACCCTGGCCTGAGCCCCAACATTTCGAAGCGGTGATAGAAGCAGATGGTCACAGGCTCAAATCTCACCAGGACTCCCTTGAACTGCTTTAGCAAGGGGCGGGCAGCTCTGAGTCCAACATTTCATCCCCTTCTCTTTCTTCCCTCTCTTCCTTCCTAATAGCTTTCGTCCACCACCCTGCGCCTCAAGTTTGCAACCACAAAACTGGAATGATATTTTCAAATTGTGGCTGGCATCTCTTTTGGCAAATTGGCTCACCTACGTTCAACTAGCAATCCAAGAAATCCATACAGATCCATAAAAATCTCAGCAGCACGTTTCAGGTTCCATTCATGCTACGTGCCTACGCAGCCTGCAGCTCAGGGCTGCAATGTCATCCCCTGATACCCCAGCCAATGGTGAGAGGTTGGGGTTGTAGCCGGCTTTCCAGTCATTTCACTAGAGAAGTCACTTTAAGAATTGAGACGGTTGATGCCCGTTCGTAGTCAAAGTATCAATGGACAATCCTCTACAAATGGTGTTTTAAGATGGAAATCATCGAGTTAAATGGTGGATTTTCCAGCTAGCCATGGCCATGATTCCCAGAGGCTACATTAAATCTATGTTGCAGTAACACATTTAAGTTCTCATCCCAAGTAACATCGACCCCAACTAATCACCCCTTCCCCAAGTCACAGGGTCGAATCGCCGAGGCTGAAGAATGGTAATGTGGAGACCAGCAACGGGGAGTATAGGCCATGACCTTCCAATGCGCGATGCGTATTCGGTGGCCATGGCGCAGAGTTATGTTAGGTGGAGAGTTATGTGGTAAATCCAATGGTTATGACTAACATAGCCATGGAAAGATCCACCATTTTATAGCTAGGTAAACCATCTATTTCTATGGCCATCTATACCATGGCTATGTTAAATAACCAGATGGTAAATCCAATGGTGTAAGCCAAACCATATACATCCATATACCCATCTCAGAACCATTTAAGGGGCTTTTAATAAAACTTGACAACATGGGAGTTGTGACTGGGCTTGCCAGGTTAGAGAGTAGAGAGTGTAAGCGAGACGTTCCAGGTTGGGAGACTTGCTAAACATCAGAGCTAGGCACTTGTTAAGCGGGTTGGTCATCCAAGTAAAGGAATGTTCCAAGCTTGGATGCAGCCAAGCAGTTAGGAGGATGAAAGCGAGACCATGACTCACATGGAACCGTGGAATCGGGCATGTAAGTCTGTAAAGTGCCACATTCTGCGTCAGGTTTGATTTGACCGAAGACTTTTTCTGTTCTCTTGGTGCGTGACTCAAAGCGCAGCGGGTGACCGGCCGACCCGGGCCCCCGCCAATGTGGAACCCGGTCGCGGCCACCTTGAGGAGAACGTATTCCACATCGAGTCCTCCTGATTCTTGCGAGCCGGGGACTGACTCGCGCCTGGAGCGATGTGGAAAGATGAAAGAAGCGGAGTTAGATGGAACTAGTGTTTCTGTCCTTTGAATATCTTCGAATCTTGCTGAAAGTCTTGGAATATTTCCTTTGCTTTCGATTTTCAATGGATCTCAAGATGATATTTTTGGGCTCCTCTTCCCTTCAAGTAGGCCCGAGCTGAGGAGAGAATGATGGCCGCCTGCTGGGCGGCTCGTCATGGCCTCGGCCGACACTGGCCCGACCATCCTGGAAATGTCCGCATGGCGCGAAGTCACCGATATGTCGATAGATATGTAGATCATTGATGATCATTGAATCTATGAGGTAAAACTATGGTAAAACCCAAGAATAAGTGCTCCCCAAGTTGGGTTTATTATTGGAATATCACGGAATATCTATCGATATCTCGAAAAAAACCCTAGTTGGCGTGGTGTAACATGACTCCCAAAGCTGTGGCTGCTGGAACGGTTTCTTACTGACGATTGCCAACGCTTCTTTTCAACACTGGGTAAGACGCTGGTGGCCAGCTCAGGCTCTGTTTCGTCAAGGATGGGTGCATTTATGGTCGCTACTGGGGGTGCGCCAGAGGGATTACGAAGTGGTGAGGTTTGGGGGGCTATACCCTCTTCTAAATACCCAAGATTTTTTCTGCGTTGCTGATGCTGATGGATTTGAAAAGGGATTTCCACCCTTTATGATATACGTTCCCTTGTGAAACCCTGTGCGGTGCGGGCACACTTGCAACCCTGGCCCGGGGGGGGTGCCAGTGGGCCTTGGTGTGGTTGTCCTGGCAACGCCTGTTTCCAAGGGAACAACACAAGGATGCTGCTCCTTAAGGGACCTGCACCTTACACACGGTCTCACAACTGACTTTAATATGCCCCACACATATTCCAATTTTGTGTTTTGAATGGATTGTTCATAGCTTACGAAAGCTCAGAGCTTGGATCTAACGGCCTTTTTTGAAAGCAGGTCTGCAGAAACCGAGCTTGACCTGCCGTTTCTACACTTCGAATGCTGCTACTACTCTGCCCCCAGCTCAGTGGTGCTGTGGCGGTTGGCAGCTATTCCGTGCACGGGAGGAATTCCGCTTGGATGTGTATCTCAGTAAGTAAGTGGATAATGATTACCCATATAAGATCAATTAAATGCGGGAGTTTATCTCCGATTCATGAATTCATTACCATGTATTGTGTCATCATATCCCACCTACAGAAATCCCAAAAAGATAGAACAGTAATTTTTTACCATTATTTTCATGGGCTTTGACCAGCTTCCATCTTTTCCCATGGTGGAAAAAATGGCACATCCCATATCTTTGATGGGCCATCGATGAGGCCATTGAACATGCCATTGCCCACGGCTACGAGCCGCGGGCCCCAGCGCGGTTGGGTGGTTTCCTGGGTCCGAATGGATGCTGACGACATTTTTTGGGCTACAAATGGGAATGCACCCTCTGGTAAACCCATTGAAAATGGTGATTTACCAATTGAAAATGGTGATTTTCCATAGTTATGTTAGTTTACCAGAGGGTAACAGAACACAAAACTACTCGAATTCGTTGGTAGGGCATCTAAGACTGACCCTGTTTGGGGTTCTCTATATATGCGGATAGGTTCAGTACCTCTGCAACCCCTGGAATGATGACCGTCCATGAGCACCACCTGTTTCGGTGTGAAAACCAGGGGGGATGTGAGGGTTTTGACAGGTTTTGACCCACATCAACCATGGGATGTCCAAACTTTGGTTGATTAAAACCATGTTGAATAGATGCCATACCATAGCGGTGGCATGGATAAACCATGACCTGGTTATCCGAATGGCCCCCCTGGACCTGAGGCGCATAGAGCCTGGGAATGGTGGAGGTCAAGTCTACAAGGCTAAGCAGCGGCTGGCCACTTTGAAAGCCAAACTCGTGGGCATTAATCTGGGCATAAACTCTAAACAACGGCCCCAAATGTTCTGAATTCTTTGATTAACAACTCCAAATATTGGTTTGCACCCTGCTGTACCACTATTTTTCTACAGTATCCACAGTAGCATTGGATACCCTCTGGTAAACTAACATAACTATGGAAAATCACCAGTTTTAATGGGAAAATCCACTATAAATGGTCATTTTCAATAGCTATGCTAAATTACCAGAGGGTATTGAGGATTCATAGGACAGCCGTGTGGGATCGAGGTGCAGCGGCGCAGAGGCTTTGAACCTGTAACGGGTCCCAGAGACCGGGTTGGGGTTGAGGGTGGGTCAAAAAAGGATGTCACCCTCCGATTAAAATAATTCATCATGATTAATCCGCCATTGAAAGATGATTTTCCCATTTAGACCTCCATGTACAGGGGATTTCCCATTGCCATGTTTGATTACCGAAGGGTACATGGAAAATGCCGGTTCCATGCCGATGGTGATGTGACCGCATGCGGGCATGCAGAATGGGTCAGAATCTGGGAGTCAGGTAAGTGAGGTAAGCCGAATTTTTTTGTGTTAATTTTAAAACACATTTACATAGTTACCCCCACAAGAGATAGAACAGTAATTTACTATACCTGTAGTAGTATTTTGTTTTTCTTTTTTTGGTGCTACATGGGCTATTTGGTAGTAACGTTAGTGCCTTGTCCGGTAGGGTTCTGGTGAATCCAATAAAAGGCAGGAAAAATTCTGATTTCCTTAATTCTTTTTCCTTTCGTGGAAAATCATACTACTCAGAAGATCTCTGAAGACGGGGCTCACGGCATAGAGTTTACCACAGTACTAATACTCCAGGTGTCGGGGGTGCCAGGAGGCATGTGCCCGTGCCATTGTCAAAACTGAGTTGAAAACACAAAAGGAAAAAAAAGAAGAAACACACAAAGAACAGGAAAAGAAAAAACAAAAAAAAGGAAAAACATATGCCGTTGGCCATTCCTCCAAAGGAATGGTTCATATAACCGCTGTCAACCCCGGATTCATCACCCCGCTAGGTGGGTCCTTTAGCAGCAGATAGATATATATATATTTACGTATAACTTGAGATTACTGAATCCGGGGTTGAAATTGTGGTCGTTTTGATCATGACAGAAAACTGCATGAGAATCTCTTTTGGATTTCGCATCAGCAGTTGAAAAAGGGAACTTGGCCCCATCAGAATCTGCTGAACGCTACTCAAAAGCCAAAAAAAACCCTTAGTAAACCCGTATTTCCGGCTTCATTGATCACATCATCCACAACTTCAATAGCTGTGAAAAGGCTGATTCCTGGTGCCCAGGTTCCCACTTGCTCCTTTCACTTCATTCCAGACCTGGCCCTCCGGGAGGAGGTGTGGCAGGAGTTGTCCTTCACATCACATCACATCACATCACATCACATCACATCACATCACATGCATTAATATCCCATCATATCCCATCAAATCAAGTTTTAGATTTTAGATTGTTATTTGTCATTTTAGATTTGCAACAGCGTTTTTGATAGGTAAAATCATTTTGTTTGATGGTAGTTCTACATTCATCCCAATTGTCCAACCGGGAAACCATTGGTGTCCCATATCTCAATTGGTAAATCACAGTAGGCTTTGTCTGAAAATAGGGTATCCCTAAATTGACTGGCTGATCATAGTTTTCCCGACTGAAATGGCACTGTGGGCGTGCGTGAAATCCCAATTTTTTGACGCATCCAATCATAAAGTTCGGAAAAATATCACGTGAAATCCCAATTCTGAATGACAATATAAGCCACCATCTCTGCTGTATAATGAGCCATCAACCAGCATGGTAGATCCCCAAATTTACCACAATCAACATGTGGGTGGTTTACTGCTTTACTAACTCCTAACCTTCCCCCATTTCACTAAAGTAATGACTATAACTAATGCCATTTTAGTAAAGTTACCAGGTATTTATTTAGTAAACGACGAACGAGTGGAACATCGCAGGTCGCCGAGCTGGCGCGCTGTGCAGCCGAAGGCCCACCAGACTCCTGGACGGCAGGGACCTGAAAAACCTGGCGGCGGATGGGAAACACTGGGGACTTCAGTTACTGGGGACTTACCCTCTGGTAATTTGTTACATAGCTATTGAAAATGGCCCATTTATAGTGGATTTACCCATTGAAAACGGTGATTTTCCATAGCTATGTAAACGTTTACCAGAGGGTAATATTAACTAAGTAGGTAAATGAACTATAAATGAACTGACTGTAGGTAAAACATGGTAAATCAACTATTCATTAGGTATACTAAGCAACAAACGATATAACTGATATATGTTTTTGGGGATATAAGTGATATAAGCCTTAAGTTACTAAGATTTCTTTGGGGATATAACAGATATTTTTTTCGACTGTGACGAATGGGATTGGAGCATTGAAAATAAGAGGTGGTTGAACAACAAGGGCCGGTCGGGTCGAAAATGCACCATTTCTCTTTGAAAGTTATACACGGTCAGAGTTTCCAAACACACACACACACATGGCCAACTCTAGCAAAACACATCCGCGACGTAAGACCCATGGTAGAAGCTAACATGAGACATAGCATCACGTGAGTGCAAGTGCCCAGGAACGTTATTAGCCCCCACCCCACCCCACCCCACCCTTTCCCCCGTAGCATCACGTGGGAGCAAGTGCCAAAGGACGTTATTGCCCTGCCCCACCCCGCCCCAAACCTCGAGAATAGCGGAAGGAAAAGTCAAGAGCGTCATGTCAAGAACGTAGTGAAATGAACGTTATTGCCCCACCCCACCCTGAAACGTCACATACGTGGAGAAAAATGCACGAAAAACCGCAGTTCCCACCTGATTTCAGTCAAAAGAAACATGGTTTTCAGCCCGACCGGGCCACCAACAAACACGGTGATCATGGTGGCAAAATGAAGTTAATTCCAGTTGGATGTGGATATCATATGAATGGTGAGTTTAATTCACCGAAGGTGAGGACTTAACATGACTTACCCTATGGTTAGTTATTTGACATAGCTATGGAAAATCACAATTTTCAATACTGGCATATAGGTAAATATAATGTAAGTCAATCATCCATAAATGGACAATTTTCCATAGCTATGTTAAATTACAGGAGGGTAACCAACACAATTGTGGTGGGTTTTTTAAATCGTGAGTTTAGTTCATCAGTTGTGGTACAATGAGGATATATATATATACATGTATATCTACATCTATATCTACAGCTACATCTATCATCTATATCTCTATATTTATCTATCTACCTATCTACCTATCTATCCATCTATCGATCTATCGATCTATTGATCTATCGATCTATCCATCTATCCATCTATCGATCTATCCATCTATTGATCTATTGAGCTATTGAGCTATTGAGCTATTGGGCTATTGAGCTATCCATCTATCCAACTATCCACCTATCCACCTATCCACCTATCCATCAATCCATCTATCCATCTATCCATCTATCCATCTATCCCTCTATCCCTCTATCCCTCTATCCCTCTATCCCTCTATGCTTCTATCCCTCTATCCCTCTATTCATCTATCCCTCTATCCATCTATCCAGCTATCCATCTATCCTTCTATCCATCTATCCATCTATCCATCTATCCATCTATCCATGTATCCATCTATCCATCTATCCATCTATCCATCTATCCATCTATCCCTCTATCCCTCTATCCCTCTATCCATGTATCCATCTATCCATGTATCCATGTATCCATGTATCCATCTATCTATCTATCCTATCTACCTATCTACCTATATACCTATCTACCTACCTACCTACCTATCTACCTATCTACCTATCTACCTATCTACCTATCTACCTATCTACCTATCTACCTATCTACCTATCTACCTATCTACCTATCTACCTATCTACCTATCTACCTATATCGATCGATCCATCCATCCATCCATCCATCTATTTACACATACATATACAATGGTACAATGTAATGGACATCTTGAACCCCGCACCTCAAGGTGCCACGGAACTCGGCCTACGCACCCAAGCCTCGGGAGTACTGTAGCGCGATCTCAGCAGCGGGTTCTGTTGTAAAGGCTTCAAAAAGCGATGGAAATCCATGGGGAAAACCCATTTGGAAATGAAATGAGCTACTTACAGTAAATGGTGGATTTTCCATATCGATTTGAATTTACTGGATGGTATATCATGGGATTTTGGCAACACGCATGGTGGTAGAATATGGGATATAGAATGGGAATTACACAATAACCATAATTAGAAACATGGGGTAAACCTATCAAATGGCAATTTGATAAGGACAATGATGATAATTCGTTTTTTTTTTGGCATCATTTTCAGACAAAATCAATATGGTGCAGGACACATGGTAGAGGAACCGCCGAACCGCCTAGAGTTTTTTTTTTGAACCATGAAGAAATCCATGGTTTGGCGCAAGTTATTCTCTAAATGAACTTGACTGAGCAACAATTACAGTTTGCTCCAGAGGTTGGTAGTGGTGTTTCCTGAGACACTTCACAACCCCAGGACAGAGCGCCTCGGCCTCAGCTTTGGCTCAAGAGAAACCGAGAGACGACTCGACTTTTCGAGTCGTGTCCGGATGTGCAGAACTCGTGCCGGTATCCCTTGATGGGGTCTTTTCTGTCCGGACAGCACCTTGGCAGCCGCCAGTGGTACTTCCAATTGGGTATGCCTTGGGCATCGTAAGGATGCTACGTATGAGTATGATTCATTAATTTCTGTGGCTGAACCCAACAAACTATCCCCAAAATCACGATTTTGATGGGTGGGATTCCAACCCCCAAATGGTAGTTGTTTATGGCATTGGATTGCCCACATTATTTTGGCATGAGATAATAGCATTTCCATTTGAAAACAGGCATGTTCCATAGGAACTTGCGGTCAGATGGTACCAAGGAAGCACTTCTCACACGGATCTTTGGTCGCGAGCCCAGTGTCTTTCGGTGTCCCGTCAATGGCGGTGAGAGAGCGGTGCATGTGAGGTTGGCATCTTTGAAGGGCAGCTGACACAAAAATATGAGATCTTGAAGCAGAGCCTTGGCTTGAAATACTTTGAAACATGGATAGTTTGAACATGTCAGTCCCCATAGTCCCCAACCTCTGGAAGTGGAGGGAGTGGAAAAGTTTTTAACCAAGAATGGACAAATGGAAACTCATGGGAAGGACCCGAGAATGCACTTGTTATAGGGTGATTCGATCAGTCCCTTGGTGCTGAAACTGGAGCTGTGGAGGTTGGGCACTGGAAGGCAGGGAAAAACCTTATTGGTGAGGCAGGGGCTGCGGAGGAACACCGACTGGTGAATGATAGGCTTTCAGTGATTACCCTCTGGTAAACTAACATAACTATGGAACATCACAATTTTTAATGGGTAAATCCACTATAAATGGCCATTTTCAATAGTTATGTTAGTTTACCAGAGGGTACATCACTTCCAGCGACAAGTACATTTAGGGGAATGTCTTTCTAGGCCAGAAGATGTCATTCTAGAGGGCATTTATGATTGGACATTTGTGCCAACATGAACATGAGAATGGTTGTGGTTGGCAACTGGTGGCCTTCACTCATGAGACCCCAGTTGCCTCAGGCTGACCCAAAAAAAAATCTGGATTTCTGGCAACCTCCATAGCATTTTCAGGCATTTTCAGGTTTGAACAAATTATGAGACCTTGATTCCAATAAGGGTGTGAGTCAAAGCTCAGCGAGGCCATCTTTGGCACAGTTTAAAAAACATATCCAGAAAGCCGCACAGACCGCATAGATGTCCTTTTCCCCTTGGTCACTGAAAAAGAGGGGTGACCACGTTACTACCCAACTCCTAACTCCTAACTCTTTTTTCAGTTGAAGACGTCATTGCACTTCCTTTGGCCGTTCTCAGTTAGTAAGTGGTTTACAACCCACATATATATATAGATAGGGAGAGAGAGAGAGAGAGAGACAAGCTGTATATCCCACTGATTACCAATGTTTAACTGGGTCCTAGTATGATCATCAATGCGGTAAACCCAATAAACAAATCCGCAATAGCACCATAAATGGCTGGTATAAGGCATCCAACTTGTATGGTACTGTGGATGGAAGAAATCCTGCACCATCTTGGATGGTTGAAACCCCAACAAAATCATGGGATGTTTGCCATGTTTACCACCTGACTGGTGCAGGAGTTCTTCGATTTCTTCCATCTGTAGGTTTCTGATTGGATTCCCCACACTACCAGTCACGACCCACTTCCAGGGGCAAGTCTGAGCAGAAGAACCTCTTCGTCGCCAAGGAAAGCCACGAAAAGTGCCTCAGTCGAATCATGGAAAATCATAGGTTGAAATCGATGGGAGAAAAGGTGTTTTCTATGGAGAACAATGGGAACACATAGTTTGATTTTTAATGGTCATTTCATGGGACTTCATGGGGATTAAACATAGGGCTTAATGGGATGTAATGGTAACTAATGGGATTTCATGGGGATTAAATTCCTTGACGATTGGATGAAGGGGAAGGACCAACCCAAGGACACTGTCACCAAAAGCTGCCTTTGTGTTGCGACACGGTCTACACGGTCAGAAAGCCGTGCATTTTTTTGGTACATGTTGATGTCTTTAGTTGTTTTTTCCATCCTTGAATCCCAATAAGTGTTAAAGTTTGCCATCCAACAGTTGTCGATGTTGTGTGACAAATATAGTTTTTCAAGTCTGTTACCTTTTGAGACTGTCTTGGAAGTTGCTTGAGAAAGTCAAGAGCATAGCATCGAGAGCGTCTTCGAGTTACAAGAGAGAAGCATCAAGAGCGTCTTGGAAGTGTTACTTGAGAAAGTCAAGACATAGCATCAAGAGTGGTAGAAGCTATTTGAGAAAGTCAAGATTGATAACAGCGTCTGGGAAGTTACTTCAGACAGTCAAGAGCGTAGCATGCGGATAGTGTTGGAAGTTACTTCAGACAGTCAAGAGCGTAGCATGCGGATAGTGTTGGAAGTTACTTTAGAAAGTCAAGAGCGTGCATCAAGAACAAAAGCAATGGCAAATGAATCTTATTAGCCCATCCACCCAACCCCAAATGCAATGTAGCAGTTGTTGCGAAGAATGAGTAGCGTTCACACGTGCGCATAAACATTGATGTCCCACCCCACCCCACCCCACCCCACCCCACCCCACCCCGTCGGAAAACATCCGAAATGTGCAAGAAACCACATGGCTGCCTACAAACCGTGCACCAACTACAACCCAAGAAAACACAACTGTCAGAGACCTGGTTGATTGGTTGGTCCGTCTTTATATCCGTTCCGAGTGTGTTTTGACAATTTTTGACCTCATCTCAGGGATCCCATTGCTATAGCAGACTTGCGCAAAGAGTTTGACTACTTGAAGTGATCCTTGGCGGCAGCAATGCTAAGTCTTGTGCCACGCTGCCACGCACCTTTCAAGGTGACAACACAGGAGATCTGTGATATGTCGCTCTGCCTCTTTCGTTCTGCCCGAGGTCTGCAACACCCCAACATTTCAAAGGCGCGACAGGGGATGGTCAACCATTTAAGTTTCTTCATGTGAGGAGTTTTCTATAGTTTTCTGCCAAACCGCGCGCTGGCTGATGGTTCCGGGATTGTGCTAACCAATATTAATTGATCACAATCCATCAAGGCAATTCCGCTCTCAACCAACCATTATATATAGAGGAACGACACGGAGTTTTGACCACTCACGTTTCATTCATGTCGCCCCATGGGGCCATCGGAATGAGGGATGAAGATCCGTCGACCATCCATACGCTATTGGAAAACACCTGGGGGGGATCCACCCAGCGAAAGGAACTGTTTCCTGTGGATTTTCCCTGTTTGGAAGTGCCACTTCCGGCCAATCTTTTCGCAGTTATCATTGAATAATTTTGAGTATATATAAATATGGCCCCCATAAGCCCTAGTGACTAGTACTAGTTATTGGAGTTATGTTCACCCAGGTAGCGATTCAGGCTCGTTGGCACCAGCCTGCAGGTGGTGGAGTTGGTGCTGGGCAAAGAGTTGGAAAATGGCCAATGGACGGATCGCCGTTATGTGATTTCGGAGTTGGCGGCAGGGCCTCTCAGGGAGCCCATGGTGCAGATGATCCAACTGTTTAACGGCCGCTGAAAATGGTAACCCAATGTAACCCATATGATTTTCCCCTGATATTTTCCCATATGAATGGTTCTAGGGGGGTAAAGATGATAGGGGGAGTGAAATGAATCAAATGGCTATGATCCATGACATGTTCTGTTCCACTTTTAAGTGCAGTACAGCGAATTATATAACAACCACCCAAGTAATTCGAACATCGGAATGATCCCTGAAGAGCGGCCTCTCAACGGCCAAGGCTGGTAGCGACTTGCTGCACTACATCAGGAAAATGCCACTTCACTGAGCCTGGTAGATCCCTACTCCCCGCGGTCAGTTTGTACAATTCCATCTCCATTAGTGTGGCACAAGCAATACGGAAACAACAAGTGGGATGGTTCATAGAATTGGATGATGGGAAAATTTACAGGAAAGCCCTATATTTGATGGTAAAAACCATGGTTTCCTGTAGATTTTCCCTTAAACCAATCCATTGAATGGTTATGGATGGTTGATTGGGGTCACAGCTGAGGATTCAACATCAGTGCACGCTTCGAGAAGACTGGATGGCAAAAGTCCTGCATCAAATCCTGGGAGGCGTTGCCTATCTACACAGTCTGGGCCCTGAAGTCACCCCTCAGCTGCCCGGGCTGACCCGTTAGCGCTTGACGCGCGGTTTGTCAAATGCCTAGGCCAGCGGGTGGTCCACAATGATCTCAAACCCGACAATATTTTATGCGTCCAAGAGCTGCTTGGCATGAAAAGCGAGGCTGTAAGAAGTAGATAACCGAAGCCTGGTGATCACCAACGATGTCAAGACTCGTGACGAGAGCACCTACACTGTGTCCTTGGATGGATGAATCAGTCTGTCAGGTTTCAACCCGAGTCACCGAATTTGGTGCCCTGAGTCACTGTCACAGACTTTGGATGTGCCAAGGTGCTGGGGTGTCAAAATGGGTGGGTGAAGCGGCAAAAAGGAGGGGTGTGACCTACAGTAGGAAAAATATGGAAAAAATCGACATCCCAGTAACTCCAAAGGATTCGGAAAGCCGCTTTGTGATGTGGTAAGCACATATTCAACAATACCATACACCACGCAACCAGGTGGGGGTGGTTTTTATGATGCTTACTTTTCCCAGCCCCCAGGGGGCCCCTTTGTGTAACCCGACAGCTGTGAAGGTCCAAGATGAGATTGAGTTCGTGTGCGGTGATCCCCGCTATCAGTCGCCAGAGACTCTCAGGGCGTTGATAGCGCATTTGAAGGGCAACGAGACTGCCTCTTTGGACCGAACCTGGGCTGTTGCACTGGGGTTGAAGCAGGAAAGATTTTGGGGATACAGAAACCTGCTTGATTTCCGGTACTGGTATAGCACACAACTATATGCACGGTTTCCATCCGTTTCCCGTGAGCAACTCCTTTTAGTAGATCCATTGAATCCACCTTGGGACCTCCAAATCGCGTGGTGTGATCATCCCATGTCGCTCAGGGCAGATAGGCTTTGCTGCAGACATTTGGTCGCTGGGAGTCACGCTCTTCGAGCTGCTGAGTGGAGGTGGATGGAAATGTCGGTGGTAACAACCCAGGTAGCAAATACGAACCAAACGTATTTATCTAGAACCCACTTCTCACAGGACAACCCGCACACACACACACTATATATATGAATCAGATAATAAAGGCGGGGATTTACAAGTCAGGAAGATATGCTAATGGGAACCAACCACTTGCGAACTGCACATCCTGGTTATGCTTCACAGTTTCATACCCTGGTCGCAGTTCTGGCAGGTGTTATGCCGTTCATCTACGAGGCAGTGCATAACGTAACCGATGTAACTCACGACCCCAAAAGATGGGAGACTCTCAAGAAGGAAGTCATGAACGAGGACCGGCTGCCGAGGGAACTCGAGGGAATTGAGTCAGCTTCCATTTTTTGAATGAAATTTCGAGGCAAGCCTCGGTGAGGTCCAGAATGTGTGTAGGGAAACCTTGACAGAAACATTCAACGTATCTCTAGTCTTTATTGTTAAGACATGAGCAACCTATTATTGATTGCATGGAGATGGTTTCCTAGGATCAGACCTTGAATAAGAGGTGTTGTTGACAGAGATCAATTTCAAGTCTTTGGACAATGTCAAGATAAGACATTGGTCTGGTTTAACATTGCCCCCAAATCCAATGATAGTTCCAGTCGTATTTGATCATAGGGATTCAGCAACCCTCAACAAAAATGCCATCCCCCAGTAGTGGACCTGTCCTCAGCCTAGCTGGACCTTCGGGATGGCGATGGAGAGAGAGAGAGAGAGAGCCGTATTGTTGTTGCGGGTGTCATCTTTTGGGGGGCCTATCCCATTGTATCTCGTTGTATCGTATTGTATCGCCATTTCAAATGATTGGGTTTATACCCCCGAAACTTTGCCGATGACATTCTCTGCAACTAATAGCAATTTCAACTGGCGTTGGAAGTGTTTTTCATGATATCAACCCAGGTGGATGGCGGAAACCGGTTCGGAATTTTCATTCAGGTTTCATGGTTTCACATGGGTCCTAAAGTCAGGTTATACACCCAGTCATCCGGGTAGCCTCCAGGAAGTCCAGATCGATCCCTACCTGTCAGGCGCCAGGGAGAGATGAGGTGAGAAAAAACCCGAATGACTCATTAGTAATGAGTAAGCACCGGAGTAAAATCTTGGGTTATACGGATAATGTATAAATATATATATATATGCAGTAGATATTTTTTGCTGGGAGCTCTTTGGTGCAATGACGCAGCGGCTCAGCACAATTGACATAAATATATATATATGTATATGTCTACATTAGTCTACAATATATCAGCTAGCTGTACACGTATGTATTATGCATAGTTGGAATAAGAATCCAATTTGACCAGCGATGGCTCACCAGCGATAGGATTTCTTCAGCAACAAATTTGTTCAGCCGCAAAAGCCCCATTGAAGGGGAAAATCCATGGCGAATTCTTTTCCATTTTCGGATGTCAAACATGGATTCGTTTGGTTGTTCTCCCATGTCACCGTGTTAATATGTATATCCCACTATATTTGGATATATTTTGACAAGCCTATCATAATTCAAAGGGTTGGATGCCGGTTCTCGTTCCTTCTTAATGGTAAGGGTCTTGCTCAGATAGACCCTTCCTCTGAGCAAGAACCCAAATAAGAAAGAATCTGAGCGCAAACCCCACATCACCCTATTACAATCCCATTTATATCCCATTGTATTTGGATATATTTGGATAGACTTCAGCAATTTAATGTAGCTATCGAACATTGCCATTCATAGTTTATTTTCCTTAAATTCATTTGTGATTTAGCTATGTTAAATTACCAGAGGGTAGTAATACTTGTTCTCTCCTTGGCGAAGAAAACCACGGAGATGGCCCAGGTGCAACGCAGGATGCTCGGAACTTGGTCCTGAGAATGCTGGCGAAGGACATTTGAACAGTTTGAGAAGGTGGCCCCAGTTGGAAAGGGGGGGAAATGCTGCCTCAAAAAGATAACACTATATATAATTATATATATAACTATATATACATATATATATACACATCTTTGCATACACATCTTTGTTTCCTCTCTTTCCATACATACGTACGTACGTACGTACATATATAATATGATATGATATAACATCATATTATATAATTTAATGTAACATAACATCGTATAACATAATGTAGTATAGTATAATATAATATGATAAACTATTATAAATACTGTATAATATAAAATATAATTTAATAGAATATAGTGAAATGCAATATACATATATATATATATGCACATATATATATAGGTATGTATAGATCTATGTACGCCGTATGATCATGCATGATATATATATATATATATATGGTCATAATCCTGCATCAAAAAGAAAAGCACGATATGATATATCTATGTATGTGCTTGCACATATTAAGTAGAGTATATAAGTATATACATATGCCAGCAGCGATGATCCAAAGTCAGGACTGGAAAGCCCGGCCATCGGCACTTGAAGTGCTGGAGGACGACCGCCGAGCCACGGGTCAAAAAATGAGGGGAACTTTTCCCAATATCAATGATCTTAGTTAATTATTGGGATATCAACACATGGGTGCTACCATTAGTTATCTTTAACTGGGATCATATCTTGATGGGGAAAAGTAACTATCTATAGTAAATTGGTCTATAGTAAATTGATCTATAGTAACTATCAACTATTACCCTCTGGTTATTTAACATAGCCATGGAAAATGGCCCATTTATAGATGATTTTCCCAGGGAACTGAAATTGGTGAATAATGGTTAATAGTGTATTTCATGGTAACTATCTATAGTAACACTATTAACTATTATTAACTCTAGTTACCATATAACATAGTTAACACTATTTCATGGTTTTTTTCGTAAGTATCAACTATATAATGACCATCTATAGTAAGCTATAAAAACTATAGTAACCATCTATAGTAACTATAGTAACCATCTATAGTAACTATGTATAGTAACCATCAACTATCTATAGTAACTAACTAAAATTCATGGGACCCTTTGGGCCAGGACCGATGGTTTACCTCGAAGAACCACCACTCGCTCAGCGAGGAGAACTTGGCCAGGCGGTGGATGTCACCAGCGACAAATGGTGGTTTAAGCCATGAAAAATGGTGGATTTCACCATCATTTAAACCAGCAAGAATGGTGACTTTTAACCGCCAAAGATGGTCATTTGAGCAGCAAACATGAGGATTTAACCATCAAAAAAAGGGATTCGAAACAAAAAGAATGGTGGTTTTTGATGGGGATATAGTGGACATTAGTGGACTCTTTATGGAATATGAATGGTAACCAACTATGAAACATGGGGTTCACCAGGTCTTGAATGGTTTTGTCCCGAAAAAAAGGGAGCACATGTCGGATTCAAGCGTTTGATACAAGTGTTTGAAAGCAGCTTTTCCACTTGCCTAGTCACTTTACAA